CATCTAGTTAAAGACGACGTTTGACGCAATCAAGGCACGCCACTCCTCATATCAGATACTCTGGACATCTCAGGTCTGAGGATCCAAGAACGAACCGCTGTATGAGATTCAAGCCATGACTCTGTCCATATGAAAATCTCATGTGGGTCATCCAGTCACTCGCTCCCAACGAGTATCCATGATTGTGATATGCATCCAATGCATCGATCACACCTCATGCTAGTCTTAATTCATCATTGTTCCCACAATGATAACTGATCATGGAGTTTAGAATCATTCTCTAATGATTCAAGGATACCGAAATATAATAAACATGTCAATCATACAATGGAAAGAGTAATGAACCAATACATAGTCAAATGTCATATCACGGATCATCCTAGAACATTACAACCAACACTCTAAAAGAATGAAGGGTAGTAAAGAGTACACAATTATGAAATGTTCAATAATTTTATTTCTTTTATAATTAAGTTTCAAAATTTAGAATGAGTTTTTAAAAATAAATATTTATTTTGATGTAAAATTTGATAAATGGCTAATATTCGTGCATAAATGTGTGGAGAGAATACATGCCTATCGAATAATATTGGTAGGTTTGATATGATAACAATTATTGTTGCTGTATGAGATTCAAGCCATGACTCTGTCCATATGAAAATCTCATGTGGGTCATCCAGTCACTCGCTCCCAACGAGTATCCATGATTGTGATATGCATCCAATGCATCGATCACACCTCATGCTAGTCTTAATTCATCATTGTTCCCACAATGATAACTGATCATGGAGTTTAGAATCATTCTCTAATGATTCAAGGATACCGAAATATAATAAACATGTCAATCATACAATGGAAAGAGTAATGAACCAATACATAGTCAAATGTCATATCACGGATCATCCTAGAACATTACAACCAACACTCTAAAAGAATGAAGGGTAGTAAAGAGTACACAATTATGAAATGTTCAATAATTTTATTTCTTTTATAATTAAGTTTCAAAATTTAGAATGAGTTTTTAAAAATAAATATTTATTTTGATGTAAAATTTGATAAATGGCTAATATTCGTGCATAAATGTGTGGAGAGAATACATGCCTATCGAATAATATTGGTAGGTTTGATATGATAACAATTATTGTTGAAAGGTTTGATATGACAACATTCCTGCGCATGGAGATCGGGATGGAGAAAACACTACGTTTTGGCATGACACTTGGTTAGTTGGTAAACCTCTACTTGATATAACAGAAGTTGCAGGTCCGAGACTTATGCGCATCGGTCTAGACATGTCAGTGGACGAGGCATGCCGGAGCGGACACTGGTCAGTTCTAGGAGTGCGGTCCGATGCGCTGGAATCAATCCTTATTCAGTTAACAACAGTGCAGATGCCTACCAGAGACCGATGACCCGATATAGCTACTTAGAAATACAAGCCGAGAGAATTCAAGAGGGCATTTTCTACTGCGAAGATCTGGGAACAGATAAGGGTGCACTCAACCGAAGTAAATTGGTACTAGATTGTTTGGTTCAAGCATGTTGTACCGAGATTTTCCTTTCTGTTTTGGGAAATAATGCTATCACGATTACTGACAAAGGACCACATCAGCCGCTGGGGAATACAAGTTGATCAGACCTGCATTTTGTGTTCAACGGAGGAAGAAACACATAGCCACATCTTCTTCACGTGTTGTTTTAGCTCGCAGCTTTGGCGCCCCATGGAAAGTTTATGATCTGTTTTGGTTATGAATTTATGATCGGTAATAAAATGCAGTATATAATATGTTAAAATTAATTAAATTTAAGACGTCTAACTTCCGGACATTAAAACCAATTCTTTACCCATTATTCATACCTAACAGAACAAACATTTCTCAGTCATTCAAGAAAGCGTTTAACTCTTCACTCTGTCAGACATTTTGATTTTATTTTGGGTGGCTGTGCCTCTTTAACCGTTCAATTGATTTTGGTGTTACTGTCAATAACAAGTCATGTTCCATTTTTAAAAAATCAAAATAATTTGTTTTGTAATTAAATTAACCAGAAAATTTAAATGAAAAAATAAGGTTAAATTGGGTATTTAAGTTTTGGAAGAGTAATTATACACGATCTGCTTCCTTTAGAAGTTTTGCTTACGTGAAATTTGTCCCAATTTATAAATTGGGTCACCATTTTTTCGGCTTTGGAAACGGAAGCCTAGGTTCTCTCTCTGTGATAAGAATCTTTGACCAGAAGATAGAAGGGTTAGCATAATCACACAAAAATAATTTGTTTATAGTTTTAAAATTGATTACGTTTAATTTTTTAAAACCAAATTAAACGGTTTTTGGATTAAACAAATTTAAAAATAATAAAAAATAGATTAAAAATAATAAAAGGAAACATACCAAACTAAACCATATGAACCCGTGTGGTTACTCATTGTTCGCACCTAACCGTCATTTAACGCAAGTCATTGTTCTCAGCTTATATATATCGGAGATCAGGGACTGATTTTTTTGTTATTTTTTTTTATAATTTAAAAACTCACTGTAACTTCGGTACAATTATAGTTTTCAGAATATCGAAAAAACTCATATGAATGAACGAGAAAGAGAGAGAATGGTGGGGAATACGTGGTTGAAGAAGGTGAAGCCGTTCATAGCCGTGATCTTCATACAAACGGGGTTTGCAGGCATGGATCTCCTGTCCAATGCGGTTCTGACCAAAGGGATGAGCAACTACATTTTAGTTGTATACTGCCATGCCGTGGCAACCGCAACTGTGACGCCTTTTGCACTCTACTTTGATAGGTACGTACGTCCATACAAATACCACATAAAAAATAACTTTTCCATGCACAGTTAGGCTGATTTCTAGTCGTACTATAAAGTCGTTGGTTCAATTCTCTTATGGGGATTGTTTCATAATTCACCAATGCTATAAAATAAAATTTCAATAAAAATATAAGAATATCATAATTTATTTATTATAAAAAAGCATGTTTGAATTATTGCCTTGGATCACTTTAAATAGTAAAAACTTTACACATTCTGCTGTATAGGTTACTAATACATACTTTCCACGCTTAAAATAGCATGAATATGAATTTGTACACAAAAAGATTATTATGGTATCGTGAACCTTGATCTCTCTTTTGAATCAATGAATGGGTCGAAAGAAACCGATGAAGCATGAGCAAGAAACCTAATTAGAAGGTACATACACCCGAACAACAGAATTTACGAGTTTCCCAATCCATAGTCCGATTGGGTATAACTCTGCGGTTCTAGAAAATAATTCTATAATATATTCCGATAAAATATCAGAGATATGTATCTCTAATACACACAAGTGCGTTAAAGATCTTTCCCGCTCATCTGCTCCCATTGCGGTGCGGTGTTGAATCCTTAAGCGCGTCTCAATTTCTAGTCCCTCATCTGGGGCTGCCCCTTCCTGCGCTCCTACAAACCTCCGGGCTGAGATCTTTCCGACTTTCAGCGCCGATGAATGCGTTTCACCGCGTAAATCTGTCTCCACCACCACCGAGGGAAAATATTTTACAGCGCCGGTGAACTCGGTGTCTTTGTTAAAAGGTGGGCAAATATTTTTCCGGTGAAGAACTTAGAAATCTTTTAAAGAAGAGAAATGGAGAGGAGAACATTTGAATAACTCTTTTTGTTCTTACTTTGCTTGATGAAAAATAACAAAGATGGATATCCTATTTACTCATGCATTTCATTTATTTATTTTTTAGATTAGAAGTCTGATCATACATTCATATACCTAGGAATTTCTAGAATTAGAGAATTCTATAATAATCTAGTTTATTTTCTTTAGATAATGCTAATGCTTCTGTTAGAATATTGAACAGTTCCGTTTTTTTTTTTCCATAGAGGAAAACCTTGAGTTTCTAAGAATAAAGGATTTGATCAGAAGAAGAAAAGCTCTTCCCAAGTCCCTCTGATTATGCTCTGATCATACTCGAGTTGACTAATTAACAATTTTATCCCTTCACTTAACGAACTTAACGATATTGATTATAAAAAAAAAAACTTAACGATCTTACCCAGGCAGAATTATGCTCATGCCCTTACTAAGTCTCTAAATCCATCATTGGCTTTCCAATCCAACTCACTTCAATTATCTAGAAGAACTATCATCGTATATTTCATATAATCGTAAGTATTGTTAGCATATGTGAAGTTCGAACAACCACACAAACAGGAACACACCAGATTGATGTTCCTCTGAAACTTGCGAAAAACAGAGAATCTCACTTCAGTTTTCCACCTTGAAAAACTTCACTCATACATAATTTTCATCTACTCCAAACTTACATATATATCATACAAATATAACTACTACATCAACCCACACACCTAAAAGCAATACCAGCTACAAAAGTTGTAACTGCGTACTCCACTTTTTGTTCCTGCTACTGATTTGCTTTTGATTTTGATTTCTTCAACCAAAACACTCACTTCAGTTTCTTCAGACTTATCATTTTCAACAAAAAAAAACTGATCCATCAACCATTCTTTTGGACTTCGACATTTCTGACAGATTTTGAACCAGCAAGTCAACAATCTGTATATATAATTTCTCTCTTTTTCTTAGTTTCATGGATTCTGTTTGTTTATATAATCATTTTTTATGACCATTCTTCGAAACTCTATTTTTTTATTCTCGAGAACCTCAATCTTCGTTATTTTTTTGGGTTAAAAAGGTACTAGGAGAGTGTTTATGTTTTGTCGTCTTGAACGGGAGCTTTTGGGGGCATCATAAGTGTTTCCGTTAGTTCTTGGAACTTCTGATTCACTTTTTGTTTTTTTTCCTGTGTACCATCTCTTTATTTTTATGAGCAAACAGACATAAAAAGAATAACAAATATATCGAATTGATACAATATAATATGTCTTCCATTATATATGAATAAGATAATATAATCTCAGTAAACACAAACCGGCAAATATTTTCCGAGATGGATCAACGAGAAGAATCGACAAACTTGTTGAGCTTCATTCACTTACAAAATTATTCAGACCGAACACAGATTAGATTCGATCGTTTGATATGAAACAGGGATGTGAGGGCGAAGATGACACTGAAGATATTCATCCAGATTGCTCTGCTTGGCCTCCTTGAGTAACTTTTTTTCTCTTCAATCTCAGTTTTGATCTAGATCTCTTCCAATTTGATATCTAATTGTTTATTTACGTGAATTAGGCCGGTGATTGGCCAGAACTTCTATTATTTGGGGATGAAATGTACGACGGCTACATTTGCGGCCGCGATGTACAATATCCTACCAGCCGTAACATTCGTTATGGCCTATATCTTCAGGTCACACCCGAGCAATTGTGTCTTCGTCATCCTCATGGTTTACTTGCTCTTTTACTTACTGATTTTAGTTATGCTTGTGGTTAGGCTCGAAAAAGCGAACCTGCGGTGCATCAGGGGCATCGCTAAGATCATCGGGACGGCTGCTACGGTGGCTGGAGCCATGGTGATGACCCTCCTCAAGGGTCCGGTTTTTGACTTATGGAAAAAGGGCTCATCACCTAAGAATAGTGTAACAGTCGGGATTGATACAAGGAGTGCGATTGAAGGAGCCGTTCTGATCACAGTCGGGTGCTTGGGCAACGCCGGTTTCATGATTCTACAAGTAAACAAGATTTGGAAAAATTATTAAATTATTAAAGATTTTTATATGATCGTTTGTGAGGATGCATGAAAATCTCTTATTTACTTTTAGGCAATCACGATAAGATCGTATCCCGCCGAACTCTCTCTAACAGCTTGGATATGCTTTCTGGGCACGATCGAGGGAGCCGCTCTAGCTCTCATTATGGTAAAAGGGGATCCTGGCGTCTGGGCGATCGGGTGGGACAACAGGCTGATTACTTGCTTTTACAATGTAAGAATCTTCTTCTTAAAAAACACTATGCAAATTGCATAAAGGCGAATATAACGGAATCTAAAGAATGATGTAAATGAAAGCAGGGAATCGTATGTTCGGGACTTGCGTACTACATTGGAGGACTTGCGATGAAAGACAGAGGCCCCGTGTTTGTTAATTCCTTCAGTCCTCTGTGCATGATGATCGTAGCGTTCATGTCGTCCATCATCTTCAAGGAGCGGATGTATCTGGGAATGTAAGTAAAACCATTAAAGCCAACAATTTTCATGATCATCAAACAAGAATAAGAGAAAGAAAACTGATGAAAATATCTTGTTCTTGTGGCAGGGTTCTTGGTGTGGTGGTAATATGCGCAGGATTATATGCTGTGATATGGGGTAAAGAGAAAGATTACGAGAGTTCGAATGAAGAACCAGAACAAGGGGAAGTAGAAATGGGGGGTAATGGTCTCGATCACGAAGAACAAGAGAGTTTGAATGAAGAACCAGAACAAGGGAAAGTAGAAATGGGGGGTAATGGTCTCGATCACGAAGAACAAGAGAGTTTGAATGAAGAACCAGAACAAGCGGAAGTAGAAATGGGCGGTAATGGTCTCGATCACGAAGAACAAGAGGGAGATGCCAATACAGAGGACAAACGAGTTCTAGAAACGGTTTAAGAATATATGTTCGGGGATAGTTTCTATCTTAATTGTCATGGGGATAGAAAGGTTCTGCTGAAGAACAGATGTTTGATTATGGACTTTGTCTTGTTTTAAAAGCGACTGAGAACGGATGTAATTTATCTATGGTCTCATTGATTGTTTCAGTTTTAAACAATCTTTTCCTTGCGTCTTGAAGTCAAAGCATGTGTGATGATTTTCATTTGAGAGAGAGAGAGAGAGAGAGAGAGAGAGAGAGAGAGAGAGAGAGAGAGAGAGAGAAGGAAAAGAACGTATGGGGAAGAAAAAGAAAGGTTCCTCCCCCCGTACCCAGAAATCTCCACCCAAAGCTGCAGATGCCTCTGCTCCGATATCTTCACCGGATGACCCAGATCCGCCACCCCAGACACAAATCAGCCTTTATCCTACCCCAATCATCTCTTCCCCACAAATTTCCCCCACCCAACCACCGATTCTAAACCTAAACGATTTTCCCCCACTGGGAAAATCAACACTTAGCCCACCAACTTCCTCTGCGGCGACTGTCAACACGGCTCTCCCTGAGCAGCCGACTTCATTGGCTCTTC